CCGGCCCTCCTTCCTCTAGCCCTGAGGGGGTGGGACCTCTTGGCCAGCAGACACCCCTGCCCCTCCTGTCTCCACAGTGGGCCTAGGCATGCCTCTCCCCCTCCCCCACTGCCCCCATCTGCCCAGAATTGCTTCGGATGGCTTGAGGTGGGGAAGGAAGAGGCCTGGGGGTGGTGGATTTGCCTGTAAATATCGTGGAAGTGTTACCCCGCGCTTCTTCCTGGTCTTTGTCTCTTAGAGGAACCCCCACCATACGTATATATGCCTCAGTCTCTCCTGAGCTCCCTGTTGCTTGGGGGGCGAGAGGGGGGGAAGTAGGGGGTTTGTCTCCTGGTTGTCTCCCGCTGTCTTCTGATGCCTCCTTCTCTGGGCCTCTCGCAGTTTGTATCTGTTCCTGAAACTCATTTCTCTTCTTCTCCCCGTCTCCACTCTGTTCCAAGGTGTTAGTACTTGGAGAAGGAGCATAAAGCCGGCTCTGTTGCAGCTTTTGGGTAGGGAGGTTTTCCCAGGGGCTCCCTGGTTTGGAGTTGGAGGTTGTGGCCTTAGAGCTGTCTTTGGAATGAGGCCGGAAACAGACCCCAGGTGAGACCTGGGACTCAGTATCCACCCTGTGTGGCTTGAGTGGAGTTCAAGTTGGAGTCTTTGGGGGTGGGCAGGAGGGCGGGGGGGCTCTCTGCTGCCCCTGGCCTTGCCTGAGAGGTCTAGGTTGATGGAGCTGTTGCCATGGAAATGGAGACAGCCTGAACAGGAAGAGGCTACATCTTTGTGCAGGTCAGATGCCCACCCTACTCCTCCAGCCTCTGGCCCCCCGAGTGGAGGTTGGGAGCTGCACTGCCTTTGTTGCTGGAAGACTTATGTTATAATTTATCCTGGGTGGACCGGGGATGCACAAAAGGTTAGTGTGTATTTCCAGCTCTGGTTTCAGGCAGGGATGTCAGACGGTGTGCTGCTGGGGTGGGTGGGGGTGGCTTATACATCTGGCAAGTGTGGGCCTGGCTCTGGTCTGGCTGTATGTGTGATGGGGTGTGTCTGGCCTGGTGTGTGTGTGTGTGTGTGTGTGTGTGTGTGTGTGTAGTGTCGTGTCTGTCTGGCCTGGTGTGTTGTGTGAGAGAGATGGAGGGGGTGTGTCTGGCTTTGTGTGCCTCTGTGTATATTCGGCAATGTGTAGCCCTGGGTGTATATTTTGGGTTTTGTCTTTGTTTGATCTTAGGAAGCTGAAGGGGGAGAGCAGAGAGGGGACAATGAGCCCGGCTTCAGGAGACTAGAGGATGTTTTTGACGCCGCTGGCAAGGAGGGGCAGATCCCGGGGTCAAGGATCAGGGAACATCGAGAGGTTGACATTGTCCCCAGGCGGACCCCTGTGCTCCCCCTCCATACACAAATACACAGAGCTTGTGCAGTTGGACCCACACAGCTACCAGAGGAATGCACCTAGTACATTCTGGCTCACTGTGCTTCCATGGAGCCTCAGTTTCTCTAACTGTTCCGTGGAAGTGGGGTGAGGCAATTAGTCTCTGTCCCTCTTCCTACTTCAAGGTGAGAATGTGTGCTGATGGTCATGTTTGGGCCAGACTCTGACCTCCCCCAGAAGGCTCACTGAGCAGTCTTCTAAGGAACCTGGAGTCCTTCTGCCTTCCACCTGCCTGGATGGAGTCAGGCCAGGCTTATTGGTTTCTTAGATGAGAGGGGAGCCTGGCCTGGGTGCCAGTGTGTAGAGAGCACTGGAACAGGAGCCAGGCAGTTTCTACTCCTAGGACTGCCACTGCCTTACTGCATGACCTTAGCTAAGTCACTTCTTTCCGAATTTCTTCATCTGGAAAATGAAAGGATTGGACAAGACGCCTTCTAAGATCCCTTCTACTTCCGCAGTTCTAGGTGTCTGCATGTGACCTTGAGTGACTTTTCCTAAGACCTGGTGATTTTCTAGTGGGGAGTGGGGCTAATTTCACGTGCAGGAAAGGCAGAGCAGAGAATGCTGTCGTGGGGCATCTGAAGGAGCAGAGACCTCTGGGTTATCAAAGACAGCCAGTTTTGCAGAAGAAAATCAAAACAACACAAAACAAAAACAAGAGAGCCCTAAAGTGCAGAGAGCTTCCAGAAAAAGACTGGCTAGAATGGAGAGATGGGGGTGGTCTCTAATTAGTAGGGGCTTTGAAGAAGGGGAAAGACAAAGCTCAGGCTTGAATGGCAAGGAGGAGCTGGCGCTGGGTGCTGACCCAAGCTCCTTTCTTGCCACTGTGGCCAAGACCCGGATCCCCAGGGGCCAGGATGGGCTGCCCAGCCATCATGCCCTTGCAAAGAACAGTGGTTTGGGGACAAAAGGTGTTGAATGACTTGGCTGCAGTTGGGCATGGGGGACAGGGCACAGGTCCACTGTGGTGGTGTCAGTGGGACTGACCTGTTAAGGCCCCCAGAGCTCCACAGAAGCCACTTCCAAATGGCCCTTGGCTCCCTTTTCTGCTTCACGGAACTTCTCTGTCTTTCTCCCTCACGCTGTTTCCCATCTCCCAACCTCTTCCCTAACGTGATGACAGCTAGAAGTCCAGCCACCGTCACCCCTCTTCCGTCTCCTTCCGACGATACACCCGCCAGTTGCAGCTGGGAAGGAATTGGGTGTCAGGTGTGGGGGGCGAACAGTGGGGGAACCAAGCTCCTGTTTACAGTTGTTCTTGGCACCTGCTGGCAGGGCCCTGCAGGTAACCATGGCAATCAGGTGAGGAGCCAATCAGTGCTTCTCCCCACCCCCAGCCCCAGAGGTAGCAGTCTGAGGCCCCTGGGGATAGGGTGGCGGGAGCTGGGAGTGCGGGCGAGGGGGGCCTGCTCTTACACCAGACAAGGAGGAATATTTCTATACAGTCAGCTCCACAGCTCCTTCCTTCTCCCGCGCATCTAGAAAGGAGCTTGAGAGATGATCTTGGCCCGAATTCTCACAAATGCTCACGGAAGTGAGAGGGTAAAGGTCACGGCCCCTTGCCTAGGAACTCCTGCGTGTTGAGGCCACAGTCTACCTGGCAGGAACTGCATGCAAGTTCTTAAGAGCCAGTGTGTGTTGTGAAAATCCAGCCAGTGTGTGAATGAGGTGACTGAGGCAGTGGGAAGCGCCTGTGTGTTTTGTGTGTACGTACGTGTGCGTACGTGAGAGGGAGAGACAGAGCCGGGTGTGAGATGCGCTGATAGCAACCAGCATCGACCAGAATGTGTTGTTTCTGTCTGTGCATGCACACAGAGGTTCATTTGGATACACACACACACACACACATGCACACACGCACAGGTCAAGCAGTCGTACAAAGTAGTTTTGGAAGCCCAGACATCACGTACACATCCAATGGATATTACACACACTCAGCGAGACAGCCACTTGGAGTTTGTTCTCTCCTCTGGATGGTTGTAATAATATTTGGGCATCTTGCCAGGGACAGGGTTACTATGGAAACGACCAAACAGTGGAGTAGCCAGCAAGCCTTCTGCGTAATTGTTAAGGGGGGAACCCTTGCAGGGAGGCCGGCCTAGGCCGCCCTCCTTGGGACAGGAGCCCCTTTCCTTCCTTAGGCCGCTGTGTCTCCGCTGGCTCTCTGGGCTTGCTTGGTCCCCTCTGTCTGCCCTGCAGACTTGGTGTCTCTCCTGCGTGTGGCCTTTGTGTCTGTCTCTCCATCTCTTTGGGTCTCTGGCCAGCCTCTGTTGGCTGTTTGGGTCCTGGCCAAACTCATCCTGGGGTCTCTATAGAAACTGTTGATCCTGGCTGTGAATTTCTGGTCCTAGAAAACCCAATATGGTGGCTTTAGAAATCTCTCTGGAAAGGAGAGAAGGGTGTATGTTGTGAAGGAGTCATTGGGGCTTGGCCACTCTCCCAAGCCCCACGCCTTGGGCTTTTACTCTGGGAAAGAGGAGGGAGGGAGGGAGGGAGGGGCCTTCCCTTCTAGGTGCAGGTTTGGTTTTTATACCGAGAAGTTAGGCATATCAGCCAATTCAGAGTTGGGCTCTGACTGACCTCCCAGGTCCCTGCCAAGGCCTGGCTGGGTGCTCGGGGCTGCTGCAGAGAGAACTTTCTGCCCAGCTTTGGCGGGCATATCTCTGAGAGCCTGTGATGTGTCACTGGACAGCCTGGGGACAGGCAGCCGGAGTGGCAGCAGTGTCCACGTGGAGAAATTGCTGTGTGTGCCTGGGAGGGAGGTCCCGGACTGCGTGTGGGACCGGGGGACTTGCACGGTGGGCCGTCCAGCGGGGACTGTGCAGAAGGGGCAAGAGCAGTCTTTTTTGCCCAGGCTCTTTGCCACTACCTGCAGGGTCAGGGCTGGGGTCAGGCTGGAGCTGCGTGCTCCCAACTTCGGGCGTGTAAGGACCATCCTCCGTGTTTCCTGGCTGAGCGCCATACCTGCATGGCCAGCGTATGGTGGACCTCCAGGGAGCCACTCCGGGCCCAGTCTGGATGTAGAGCTAGGAGGACGAGGTGGTGCGGTGCTCCCTCTAAACCTAGGGTATCCCATGGCCACAGTGTTTCCGGGACTGCCTTCCTGGGGGAAGGGTGATGGGGTGGAAGGAGGGGAGGATGGAGTAGAAAGACCGAGGCAGGGGCCTTGCACCTGGGTAGAGGGGGGTCTAAGTGTCCTCAGCTCCTAGCACTCACTTCAGTGAATGTGGATTGGGATCAGGGACATTTTGAAAAACTCTGTTCTCTTCAATTTTCCTGCCTCCTCTGGAGAGTTGGTCTAACTTCATCTTTCCTCCTGCTCTTGAGATGGAGCCCGATGGTGTCGCTCAAGGTGGCACGCATCTCCAGAGCCCCCGTACCCGGTGAATACTCAAGAGGGGCCAGGAGGAGCCAACCCCATGCACGTAGCCAGTCTGGCCTCGGAGGCAGAGAGCAAAAGCCTTGGGCTTCGGGACAGACGTTGGGTGGTGTGGACTGTGGGAGGGGCTCTTGGGCCTCTGGGTTTCTGATTCCACTTTGATTTCTCAGGGTGACGCTCCCCAGGCCCCCTGCCCCCCACCCCGGCATCATGCATCGGACCACACGGATCAAAATCACAGAGCTGAACCCTCACCTCATGTGTGCCCTCTGCGGGGGGTACTTCATCGACGCCACTACCATCGTGGAGTGCTTGCATTCCTGTGAGTTGGGCAGAGGGGCCGCTGCTCAGGACGGGCAGTCTTTGGCCAGGTTGGAGGGGCACTGCCTGGGGAGGGCAGAGCACAAGGCCCTGCCCTGGAGAGCACGCGCGTCCGTGCACCCCGTGGCGGTCCCTGGCCGCAGAGAGACTCCTGAGGGGCAGGGGGGAGACGGGAGGGGTCAGCCCGGAGGTTTATTTCAGGAGCTTTCACCTACCTGACCCCTCGGTTCCCTCCTCCATCCTCTGGCTGGAGCTGCAGCCCCTGAAGATGCACGTGCCCCCCCACGTGCACACTGGGCTTGGTGGCAGAGGTCCAGGACCCTGGGAGGTGTCCAGCAGGCGGGCTGTTGTTTTGTACTCCATCGGACTTGGGGCTCCCCTTCTGCTTGGTACATGACACTGGCCTGACACCCGCACGCATGCACTCCCACGGCCCCTCCTCCCCCAAGGACGGAGGAGGGGTGAGACCAGGACCACGTTGAGCCTTTGAATGGGCTGAGCTGCGGGGACAAGGTGGAGAGGAAGGGATACCTGAATCTGAGCAGAGGCCGTCGGGGGCTGGTCCTGGATTACGAAGGGGGCTCTGACTCTCCTTTCTTTCTCTACCCCCCACCCCCAAGTCTGCAAAACCTGCATCGTGCGCTACCTGGAGACCAACAAGTACTGCCCCATGTGTGATGTGCAGGTCCACAAAACCAGGCCGCTGCTGAGCATCAGGTGGGCCCGGCACTGTCCCTCCCGCCCATGCGGACTCTCTGGGTCATCTGCCCTCTGTCCCTCAGCCCTCTTTGCATCCTATAGCCAAGGTGGCAGGTGGGGGAGAAGCAAGGCCCCTCCCCTCCCTCTGTGTCGTATCCGGCTTGTCTAGGCTGAGAAGTACTAGAGGGGTAAAGACCGTGCCTCTGGGGACCCTGGTGCCTGTGCCCCGGATCTAAGGAGGGGAGGTGGGAATAAGGGTTTCTGGCTGGGGAGAGCAGGGTGAGGTGGTTGCTGACGGGACTCCATGCTGTTTCCAGATCTGACAAAACCCTGCAAGACATCGTCTATAAACTGGTCCCTGGGCTTTTTAAAGGTATCTACCTCCGTTTCATCCTGCCCCCAGCCCCACGCTTCCCTGCCTAGTGCTCCATCCTCACCCTGCTTTCCTCTTCCAGATGAGATGAAACGACGGCGGGATTTCTATGCAGCATACCCCCTGACTGAAGGTGAGCGTGTTCGCTTGCCTGTTCCCCTGAGCAGGTGGTGCCGCCCTGGGCTGTCCGCCCTGCACGTGCCGCCGCGTCACTGCCCCGGCCCAGAGGATGGTTGTGCTCACCACCCCCCACCGAGCTGTGAGATCCAGGGTCCTTGGTGGGGCTCCTGTCCCCGTCCTAGGCCAGCCCCTCAGCTCTCTCTCCTTCTGCAGTCCCCAATGGCTCCAATGAGGACCGCGGCGAGGTCCTGGAGCAGGAGAAGGGAGCTCTGAGCGACAACGAGATTGTCAGCCTCTCCATCGAGTTCTATGAAGGTGTCAGGCAAGTCTGAGCCACGCCTGGTTTTGGGGGTCCTAGGTCTGGCCCCCTTCCCCTAGCCCTGGCCCCCTTCCCCACCCTGGCCCCCTTCCCCTAGCAGGAGAAGGTGTCTCCAGGAAGGTCTTCTGGATGTGTGTGTTGGGGGATCCTGCCTGCTTCAGGGGTTCCCTAGCTTCATTGTTTCTCCTCCCCCAGGGACCGGGAGGAAAAGAAAGGTCCTCTGGAGAATGGGGATGGGGACAAGGAGAAGGTGAGTGCTGGGGACCTGCCTAGGGGTGGGATGCGGACTGGGAGAGAGTGCCTGGGGCGGACCCCAGCCCTTGGGTGCTTCTCCCTCAGCAGACAGGGGTGCGGTTCCTGCAATGCCCAGCAGCCATGACCGTCATGCATCTCGCCAAGTTTCTTCGCAACAAGATGGATGTGCCCAGCAAATACAAGGTGAGTCCCTGGGCCCTCTCAGAAACTGAGTGCCTGTTGTGTGGCTGCATCTGGCAATCTGTGCATCCCAGCCACTGTTCTGAGCAGGCTGGGTGACACGAGGACCTGCATGGTTGTGTAATTGAGCTGAGTAGAAGGGTAATTGAAACCAAGATTAGGGTGGAGTAGTCTTTGTCTGTTGAAGCCAGTGTGCAGAGATGCACGGGAACCAAGACGGAGTGTACGTGTGTGTGTGTGTGTGTGTGTGCATATGTGTGCACATGTGCATGGTTGCATGTTCAGAACTGTGGCAGAGGTATGTGTGCAGAAATATAGGGGGTTGTCTGGGGCCACCTGGCTGAAGGAAGGCCAGTCTGAAATTCCACTGGAGGTCTTGGACAGCACTTCTCAAATTCGAATACGTCACTGGTTCTCTAAAGATCTTGTTAAAGCATAGATAGGTTCTGCATTTCTAGCAGGTTCCCAGGTGTTGCCAATACTACTGGTCTGTGTACCACACTTTGGGTATCAAGGCTCTAGGACAACGGATCCCAAACTTTGCTGCAGATCAGAATCGTGTGGGAGGCTTTAAAACTTGACTCATGTCATACCAATTAAATCAGAATCTCTGGTGAGATCCAAGCATGTGTTGTTGTTTTTTTTTTTAATTTTTTGTTAATGTTTATTTTTGAGAGGGAGAGACACAGAGCGTGCGTGGGGGGAGGGACAGAGAGAGAGGGGGTGCAGAATCTGAAGCAGGCTCCAGGCTCTGAGCTGTCCTCACAGAGCCTGATAGGGGGCTTGAACTCATGAGCGGCCAGATCATGACCTGAGTTGAAGTCGGACGCTCAACCGACTGAGCCACCCAGCTGCCCCAAGCATGTGTTTTTTTAATGCGTCCAGGGTCATTCCACTGCAGCCTGGGCAAGAGCCAGTGCTCTGCGAGATCTTTCTCACCT